CCATGACCCGGTTAGACGGGCCGGGCCGGGCCGGGCCGGGTCGACGGGTTGAATGACGGACAGCAGTGTATTTTTTAGGGGGCCGCACCGGCCCGAAACCGGCCAAAAATCGACGGCTTCGTAACCCGGCAATTCAGGGCCGGTCCAAACCCACGACCCTTAGAAAATGCGGACCGGTCAAGGGTCATGAACTTGCGACCCGTGGACCGGCAGGCCGGGCCGTGACCCGGCCGGTGGACTGGCCACCTCTAGGTCGATAGAGCCAAATTTGTGTAAAAATAAAAAATTATGGTGAGTTTGTTTGTCTGTTTCATACGTAATCACAAAAGTGCCCCTCAATTGTACTTTTATGAGTTTATCTACATTTCGTCCCCATTTTCAGTTTCCAGTAGGCAGTAACCCACCCATCTCCCTCTCGGCCTGCAATGAATCCTTGTTGCCAAAACGCAATTGTCCTTTTTTGTCTCAATTCTCAAAAGATTCTCAGCACAGCTAAAAAATTCCTCTTTTGGTTAGGGTTTTCATTAAAGCCCCCATTTTTTTCCGCCGTTAAGAGGCGATAATAATCGTGCCCTCACCAGAAGAGAAGAGAAAACACATGCAAAACAACATTGTGTATGATTCAGAACAAAGAGCATTTGGCGGGTTTTAATTCGTTTCTGGAGGATTTTTCCCAAGAGTTGTGTGCTGAGCGCAAATGGATTTTTCAACTTCAAGCGTTTTCTTTTTGGCCGGAAAAATTTCGTTCTTGGTGGCCGTGGCAGCGACCGTTTCATGTTTCCTTATCGCGGGTGCTTTTATTTTCCGGAGAGTGAACTCGGGGCCGAACCCTGAATCGGAAAATCAAATTCCCCGTGAGAGTGAGGAAATGACTGTGGGATTGAGCGGCGGCGGCCCAGCGGCGGAGGATAGCCAGGCGGGGATGTCGATGATGGAACAGCTAGTTCCCGAGATCACATCTCATGTCCTTGGCTACTTGGATCACCGGAGCCTCTGTCGTCTAGCGATGACAAGTTCGCTCATGAGGAAAGCCGCCAATGACGACAACCCCTGGAAGGCGGTCTACTTTAAGGTTTGGTTTCTTGAAAATTTGTCGAAATAATGGGGAAGTTAATTAGGGTTTGTTTTGGTGTTCTCAATTTTGTTGGTCAAATTTGATGTTATTTTTTGTGTGGAGCATTTGAGATACGTTATGGTGGCTGCCTTTGTTAATTAATGTTACTGGGTATTTTTCTCTCCTTTGTCAATGTAAATTGTTGATTTGCTAGGATCAGTATCGAATTTTGTTTGTCATGAAGTCAATCATCGGTACCGGTGTGAATAAAGCAGAACGGTCTGCGAATGCCGGTTATTTTGAGGGGGAAAGGAAAAGAAACCTGGATGATTGACTGTTTACCATTTATTCGGGAGATTAATGTGTTGTGAATTGGAAAATTCCACAACCTGCGGAACTATTTTTAGTTAATTGATTGCAAGGATTTGGAGTATGAACGTGTCGGGCACCGTATGGTTGTTTTGTTTTGAATCATAGGCGTGCATTGATATATTTGGATTTTTTCAGTTAGCGGGTTTTCCATTTAAGTGTATTACGTTATTGTATGTGTTAGTGCTTTGTGGCCTAACCAGTTGAAATGTGATAATAAATTGTTGTTTTATTAGAATCAGTATAGAATTTTGTTTGTCATGAAGTAAAACATTGGTACTGGTGTGAAAGAGCAGGAAGATCTGCAAATGCTGGTTATTTTGAACTGAGATAAACAAAGGGGAAGAGGAAAACCTAGATGATAGCCTATTTCCCCTTAATTCTGGAAATTAATGTGTTGTGAATTGGAAACTTCCACGACCTGCGGAACTGTTTTTAGTTAATTGATTGCAAGGATTTGGAGTGAACGTGTTGAGCACTGAATGGTTGCTTTGTTTCGAATCATGTGCGTGCATTAATTTATTTGGATTTTATCGGTTAGTAGGTTTTCCTGTTTAACGTGTTAGTGCTTTGCAGCCAAAGCAGTTGAAATGTGATAATATGTTGTATTCTTCTAAAATAAGATCAAGATTGTGGGAAACCTGAAATCTTCTTACAACTTGAATATCGTTCAGATTTTGAATGCATCGTGATAGAGGATAGTGGTTCTCATGTGTATTAATCAGTTCCCTTAATTTTTTACACGAGTGTAGGTCAATGCAGAGTGTTCACGTTCTCTCATTTGATGTATAATCTAGAAAATAGGAAATGGTCTTTTAAAGCGTTGCATGGAGGTAAGCTTCCTTGCTGGAATGCTCTATCATACTTAGCATTTCAAGCATTATCGTTAGCGAAAGTGCTTTATTATTGATAGCATTTTAGCTTTGTCCTAATTCGGAAAAGCATTCAAAAATGTAGGTTCTTATTATCATTCATTAAACTGTGAAGTGCTAATTTGTCTTTTCATTTAATTAACCAGGATTTCACCTTGGAGCAAGAAACTATAACTCCACCCAATGGATGGAAAGCTTATTATGTGGCTACAAGAGCAATTGTTAACACCAATTCCGAGTTTTTTAGGATTATCAGAGAAAGGTCACTTCAGGCTATGGCCCAGTTTTGGCTTAATGCAGATTACGTAAAGTGTGTTCATGCAAGTGGTGATTCATTCAGTGGGTATGCTTCTTCAAATATGCGAAGGAAAATTAATGAAATGTTTAGTCTTATAATTGTGAAAGTTTACTATTGCTTATTAATTCCCTCGCGGCCTTTTCCAATTTACTTATTCCAAATTTATATCGTTTACAAGTTGCAGTGACATTTCTCTCTTTTCTAACAATTCAACTTCTTGCTTCTCATTTTTGTTAATGCATGAAATAAATGGGGTATATTAATACATTTTCCTCGACTCTCTTTACAGTTATAATGCAGTTATCGAGAGTTGGCAGGAAGTTTTCAGGTGGCAGCACGTTGCTAGTTTACAGATTCGAGAAGTGAGGAGTCGCGTGCTGTCAGATGTGGCCTGGGTTACCATGACGGTTTTTGTTGACTTTCCATTTAATGTGACCAATGTGTACGAGTTCCATGACGGGAAATGGTGCATGGTGCACCATCACACCACAACATTGTTCGTTCGTGTGGGAGGAGAGATGTGACAACCGAGGCAAGGATAACGAGATTGATGCAAAGATAATGTAAGAGTATAAATTGTTAGAACTGGAGCGCTCTTTTAAATAAAAGGATAATATGTCAATTTACTATAAATTAAATAATTAATAATAATAATAATATTAATAACTTTCAATAAATTAAACTAATTTAAAATAATGAAAAAAATTATATTAAAATAAAGTAAGATAAAATTTAATGAATTAAATAAAGTTATAATTAAATAAATTTTAAATGAGAAAAATTAATACAAAAATGAAATTAATAAATAAATAAAATTAAAATAAACTAATTAAAGAAAAATAAAAATAATAATTATATAAGATAATAAATTATAAAATTTATAAAGTAAAATAAATAATAAATCAAATATCTTATTATGAAATAATAAATTAAATAAATAAAGAACTGAAATTAATATAATATAATATAATAAAAATATTATTTATCAAATAATTTTAATATGATTTACTCTTAATAAATATATTACTATTTAATATAAAAACAAAATGATAATTTCATTTTAATAAATTAATAATATAAATGTAAAATAAATTGTAGTATAAAATTTCAATATATGTTTTAATGAATTAACGTAATATAATCTGTATAAATTATATTAGATATAATTTATAATAAAATTAAATGATTAATTTAAATAATTAAAGTTATAATAAAATTAAATGATAAATTAAATTAAATTAAATTTGTAATAAAATTAAATGATACTTATAATATATTATTAAAGTATAATTTCGAAAATAAAATATTTTTTATTAAATAGGTATATAAGATATGTATTTATTTATTTTAATTATTTTTATACTGTTTAATATTTTTAAAATCTTTTACAAATATATAGATTTACTTAATTATTATATTATTTATTATTTAACTACAATTTTTTTATATTTATTTATATTTTTTTTTTCGTTTAACATAATAATTTATTTAAATTATTTTTTTTGTTTATTTTTATACGATTTAGTTTATTATATTTGAATTATCATAACTTTATATTTAAATAATTTAATTTAATATAATTTATATATTCTAAATTTAATTTCACTTATTCATAACAATGTCCATATATATCAAACAATCCTAGTTCTAACACTCAACCTTGAGTGGTGTAGTTGCATTGTTTGTCTTGCTTCCATGAGACTAGTGTGTGGCCGTGCGATGCACGAGAAAACAATATTACGATTGTATTATAAATTAAATATATAAATAACATTAATCATGATTTATCCATTGTTTTTAAATTAAACCGAGTTGGACACAGTCCGACTGGATGGATCGAGAATCGGTTTATAATCAGTCTAGTTCGCTTGAATAAAATATTTGTTCTCGAATCCGTCAACACCAGTCGGTTGGACTGGTAGGATCGATACGATTTTTTAAATAAATTTTGTTATATTTAAAATTATTTTAAATAAAATTACATATTTAAATAAAAATATAGATTTATAAATTATTTATCAATTAGTTTAAACACTTGAATTTATAAATTATTTAGATATCTAAGTAACACGTTTTATTTAAATTTATTACAAAAAGTAATATATATATATATATATATATCTATTAAAATATTCATAAATTAAAATCTGAACAAACCACAAATGAGTTAATAAAATAGCTTGATCGTTTTGATGACGGTCCAGTTCTGAACACCTTATATTTACTATACATTAATAAATATTATAATAAAATATTATATAATTCACATAAATATTAATAAAATGATAAATAAATATTCATAAATTATTAAAGATGTTGTCATAAAAGTATTGTTAATACGATTATTTGAAGTTTGGACTACATCACATTCACGTAATAAAATATTCATATAAAATTTATATTTAGGTTCAATAATCAATTTGGTGTGGTCGAACTGATACATAACTTAGTCTCCTGGAACCAACCAAGTTGTGTCAATTTTTTGACGATTTTAAATATCACCTAAAAGTAATTCAATCAAACTGGGCAGTACCCTAATTCAATCACCCGATTGATCCGAAGAAATTTTCTTATTTTATTTAATATATTTAATTTTATGAAATAAAAATATTTTATGATTCATATAATAAATGTCTACACCAAATGATAGTATATTAAGATTATAAATTATATATCTATAGATGAATTATTTATTTTTACTTATATTCATATTAATAAAAAATAAACACAGTAATTTTCAAAAAATTAAGAGTAATTGATTGATTATGCAATTAAAGAATATTTTTTGCGATCAATATTTTTTTAAAGTCACAAATATAAAGACCGAGATTCTAAAACTTTTGTTATATTTTGAATTGAGATTTTATAAATATAGAGACCGAGATTTTAATATTGTTCGTTGTTTCTAAGAAAAAAAATAAAAATAAAAACATACACACTTAATAAATTTTAGCCAGATTTTTTAAATAATAAAATAAATTAAAAGCCCGAAATTTAATTTAGCATTTAATGTTGTATGATTTTTACAGAAAAAAATAAAAAAATAATAAAACTTACTATTTATAGGTTGCATTAAATTCTGACCTATTATTTTGCTATTATTTTTGGTAAATGGTAATTCTTATTATATAATATAGATACCAGGTTCGAATCCTAAAGGTTGCAATTTTTTTAATTCAATTTTTCGCGATATATTCAATATATCGTAAATATATGTATAATATTCAGAGGGTATAACAGAACTTTTGAAGAAAAACTAATGCCGTTAACGGAGAAATAGAGACAAGGGAGCGTGTGCACCTAAAACCTTAATAGAAGGGGGTCTGACGCAATTTTTAAAATACAAGGGAGAAATGCATAGATTTAGTATAATACAGGGGAGTTTGGTGCATTAAACCCTTTTTATTTATGATAAAGTAGACGAGACTTGAAGCTTTTCTTCTTCTTGTGTAAATGCGCTTCAATGAGAACTCAAGGAACTCGCGACTTGAGTCAAGTCTAGAAACAAAACTTCCCTCTACTTGTAG